TTTCAATATTTATTAATATTTATTGGTTAAATTATAATTTTATAATGATTAATCAATATTCTAATTGATTATATAAATTACAAGTATGTGAGTATAATATTAATTAATATTTATTTGTTCAATTATAATTTTATAATGAATTAATCAATGCTCTAATCGATTACAGGGAGTGAGTAGAAATTTCAATAATATTATTAATATTTATTTGTTAAATAATAATTTTATAATAAATTAATCAATGCTCTAATCGTCTACAGAGCGTGAGTATAAATTTTAATAATATTTATTAATATTTATTTGTTAAATTATAATTTTATAATGAATTAATCAATGCTTTAATTGTCTACAGAATGGGGTATAAATTTCAATAATATTTATTAATATTTATTTGTTAAATAATAATTTTATAATAAATTAATCAATGCTCTAATCGATTATATAAATTATAAGTATGTGAGTATAAATTTCAATAATATTTGTTAATAATTATTTGTTCAATTATAATTTTATAATTAATTAATCAATGATCTAATCGATTATATAAATTATAAGTATGTGAGTATAAATTTTAATAATATTGATTAATATTGATTTATTAAATTATAATTTTATAATGAATTTATTAATGTTCTAATCGATTACAGGGAGTGAGTATAAATTTCAATAATATTTATTAATATTTATTTGTTAAATTATAATTTATAATGAATTAATCAATGCTCTAATTGATTATGTACTTTCAGTATGTGAGTATAAATTTTAATAATATTTATTAATATTTATTGGTTAAATTATAATTTATAATGAATTAATCAATGTTCTAATCGATTACAGGGAGTGAGTATAAATTTCAATAATATTTATTAATATTTATTTGTAAAATTATAATTTATAATGAATTAATCAATGCTCTAATCGATTATATAAATTACAAGTATGTAAGTATAAATTTCAATAATATTTATTTATTTTTATTGTTAAATTATAATTTATAATGAATTAATCAATGCTCTAACCGATTATATAAATTACAAGCATGTGAGTATAAATTTCAATAATATTTATTAATATTTATTTGTTAAATTATAATTTTATAATGAATTAATCAATGCTCTAATCGACTACAGAGAGTGAGTATAAATTTTAATAATATTTATTAATATTTATTTGTTAAATTATAATTTTATAATGAATTAATCAATGCTCTAATCGTCTACAGAATGTGAGTATAAATTTCAATAATATTTATCAATATTTGTTAAATTATAATTTTATAATGAATTAATCAATGCTCTAATCGATTACAGCTAGTGAGTATAAATTTCAATAATATTAATTAATATTTATTGTTCAATTATAATTTTATAATAAATTAATCAATGACTAATCGACTACAGGGAGTGAGTATAAATTTCAATAATATTTATTAATATTTATTTGTTAATTATTAATTTTATAATGAATTAATCAATGTTCTAATTGATTATATAAATTATAAGTATGTAAGTATAAAGTTTAATAATATTTATTAATATTTATTTGTTCAGTTATAATTTTATAATGAATTAATCAATGCTCTAACCAATTATATAAATTACAAGTATGTGAGTATAAATTTCAAGGATATTTATTCATATTGATTTGTTCAATTATAATTTTATAATGAATTAATCAATGCTCTAATCGACTACAGAGGGTGGGTATAAATTTTAATAATATTTATTAATATTTATTTGTTAATTATAATTTTATAATGAATTCATCAATACTCTAAATTACAGAAAGTGAGTATAAATTTCAATAATATTTATTAATATTTATTTGTTAATTATAATTTTATAATGAATTAATTAATGCTCTAATCGATTACAGTTTGTGAGTATAAATTGCAATAATATTTATTTGTTGAATAATAATCAAATATATAAATTTATACTAATTATATAAATATCAGAAAGTAAGTATAAATTCAAATTTTTTATTATTAATTCTACGATATGCTCTAACTGATTAAAATTGTTAGAATGTAAGTATATATTTTTTAGTATATTGTACAGCACAAGTGCATGTATCCATAACACGTCTTCATTTGGGATCATTTAAAACAAAACTAACCTTAGATCGCCACCAAAATTCAATATCAGGTGTAATATAACACAAATGAGAAATTTTAAAACAAATGTTTATTTCGTCAAAAATCCTTTATTTCTCAAAAAAATGTATATAAACCACCTGTGTATTAACAAAAAGTTTTCCTTGAGCAATTTTACTATATAACACACTAACATATAGCCTTAAAATAAGTCTCAACCCTAATGTATATGAATTTTAAAGAATTTTATCAGTGTGTTATACATGATCACATGCGGGTTGAATTTTGGTGACGATATAGAGGAAGATTTTAAAGCAATATGCATTAATTTGGATAATTAAAAATATGGAGAAATCTCTAGATATATTTCTCTCAGTATCACCATCAAAAGTTACTATCATGTAATGTAGTACGATCAGAAAATTCAAAGCAATATTTGTTTTGTCAAAATTACTAATTTGTTAATAATCAAAAATTTCATAGGAAACTACCTTTTGTGCACTAATAAAAGTTTTTTCCTTAAGCATTTTTATTCTATACTTTGCTAATCTCTAACCTTAATATAATCGCTAACTTTAATATAAGTAACTTTATCAACTATTATGTGATAGTGACTTTTGGTAGCAATACTGGAGAAGATAATATATATTCATACTAATTATAATTTTACATAAAAAAATTGATAAAAAATATTGATATTATAAAAAAATAAAAATAATTAAACAATTATGACTTATTAGAGAGTGAGTAAATTTTTGAAGTCTAACCTCGATGTAATTACTGGACTTGTGATAATATATTAAGAGTGACTATATCGATATTAGATGTATTATTTATTATATATTCTAGAGAACTATTAAATTAATTATTTAAACTTTTAGATCGTAAGTATAGGTTTACGGTAAACAATTGTTTTATATTTGTCAGTAGTTGATATTTAATTTAATTGCATAAATATCAGAAAGTAAGTATAAATATAAGTTGTTACTAAATTTTATTACAAATTAATAATAATTGTTTATATTGTATTTATTGCTAGAGAGTGAGTATAAAATGTTAAAAATATAATTAAACTTAAAATTATGATTAAAAATATTCAAATCGATTGCTAGAGAGTAAGTATTAAACTTAATAGTTTTATTTTTTTTAAGTATTTATTTCACATTATTTATAATCCATAATTTATTATATTAATTCTTAGGTCGTAAGTATAAATACCAATAGTGCTTATTTACTAAATTTTTTGTCAAATTCTAAATTTCATTAATTACATCAATAGTTTGTAAGCATAAATTTTAAATAACCTTTTTGATAAGCTTTGTATTTATGTTCTAAATCATTATATAATCAACAGAAAGTGTGTATATTTTCAATAACATTCAATTATTAAATAAAATTTTATAATTTTATAATACTAATCTATTATATAAATTCAGGAAGTAAATATATTTTTTAGTAATATTTATTATTTAAATAGAAAATTGTAATTATTCTAATTATTTTAATCATTAACCAGAATGTAAGTATAAATTTTAAGAAATGCACTTTTATTAGAACCCGTAAATTTATTTATAATATGTAACCAAATTAATAAATTATAGGAAGTGAGTATATATTATGATAATATTAAAAAATTTTGCAATTAAATTCTAATTAGTTATATCTATTAAGGATGTAAGTAAATATTTAATAACTTTGAAACAATTTGCTAAACAATTTTGAATAACAAATTGACAATAACTTAAATGATGAGATATGCAGTGACTGATAAAACCAGTAACTATTTTTATATTTTCATCACATTATGCCTAGCAAGTGAAAACTAATAATTTAGAAAAGTTTTTTTACATAACAAAGTGTGAACTTTTAACCTATTTAATTAACCTATTCAATCAAAATAAATAGGATAATTGGCTATACTATTATCTTAATTATACATTGATTGTTATTATCTAATGCCTACTTCTGGTTTTCACTTGGTGGTATTTATAATTTAGAAATCTATTATCATAAACATGTTAATTAAAATATGTTAGTGTCTGAAGATGTTACAGATGTTCTACCTAATATTGATTACTGAATTAGACTTTATTACAAAAATAAAAATTGATCATAAAATTTTAAATCTTGATTATTTTAATATTCAATTATAAAAAGAACTTTATTTTTAGCAATTTACTTCCTACAAGAGTAAAAATTCTTTATTATTAACTGAATTTAAAATTAATATGACTTTAAAACAATTCAAAATTGTTAATATAATGCTTTTTATTCTTGTAGAGAATTAATAGCCAGAAATAAAAAGATATAATAAATAGGATTTAGATGTATCTTTTATTATTTGAGTAAACCTTATTATTAATTAAAATTTGAAATTGGCACAATATTATAATAATTTAGATTTGTTATTATTGAAGAATTTCTGTCATGGAGTACTAAATATTAAACAATCAATAATTTAACACGATTTTTCATAACAAAATGTTTGCATTTTAATTATATACTTGATAAGGTTTTATCAATCATTGTATATAAAAATATTTATTTAAAATGTATATTTATTAATAAATTTTATTAATTATATAAATTACAGAAGGTGAGTATAAATTTAAGCAATAATAATTTCTTGAATAAAATCAGTGCATTTAATAAGCTTATTATTACAGCATGTAAGTACAATTTTAAAAATATCATTTATTAATGTAATATAATTAATTATTTTATTATATTGAAGGTAATTATAGCAGATGATGGGTTTGAATTGCCAAAAAATCTTCAAAACCAATTGAGAAAAGTAATAAGCAATATAAATAATAAGCCTTCAGAAATTTTGAACTATGTTGAAGAATATTATAAAAAAATTGAAAAGTTTGATAAAAAAGCTTTGAAGATTGATGATTTTATTCATATGATTGATTTAACATCCTTGCTAATTAAGGAATTGATGAATATAAACCTAAAAATTCCTGGTGCTAATTTAAATGAAGTCAGTTTAGTTGATAAGATTGATCAAAATTTACTTAAATGGATTGAAGATTATGCTAAAATTGCTAGAAAATTTAACCAATTTTATAAAGACCTTGACAATTTTAACAAAAATGACAACCTTGTTCTCTTTAATATTCAAGAAAATTTATTAACAAAACTTGATAATATTAGAAATCACTTGGTTAAAAAGTCTAAAGATTTAGACAATATATTGTATTTAATTCAAAAAGAGAACATTAAAAAGGTAAAGAATTGGCAATCAATTTTTGATAAACACAACATATTTAAAATATATTTTTTCTATTTTTAAAAATAAATCAGAAAATTGATAAAGACTTCCATTATATTATTCAATTAAAATCAGTGTATGATTTAACTACTAAACTAGAATATATAAGAAGTAGATTATATTTTTTTGATCCAACCTTGATTCAAAAAATATCAGGTTTATTTTATTATTTATATTTTTGATAAATATTTGATGCTAATTATTAATCTTATTTAAATTTAATTATATTATTGATATAGATTTTTGTGAAAAACTTACTTATGAATTGAAACTAAATAATGATTTGATAAAAATTTTTAGAGAAAGCGAACCATATGTAAAAGATTATTGTTTGAATCGTATTGTAGAAAATTTGTCAGAAATAGGTTGTTTGGTTAATAATTTTTGTAGACATATAATAGCAAAAACATATGATGAAATTGAGTTTGAGAGAATGATGGAAAAGTTAAAAGGGGCAAAGAAGGCAAAAGGAGCCAAGGATATTTAAATAAATACTAGTTAATAATTAGTAGCCTCGCTATAGAATTACATTACTAACTAAAATGAAAGGTGGCGCATAAATGTAATTAAGTCATTTTAAATATACGTAGTTATAAATTTAATATTAAAAATAAATATTGGATCTATAAGTTATTTCTATATAATTTTATACTATACAACAAGGTTCAAGTATTTATATCAAGGATTTATATTAAGGAAGTTTGATTTTTTTATTCATGCAATTTACAAAGCACTCAGACATGTATTAACAAATTTGGTAAAATAATTGGTTCAAATAGGTTGGATTGATCCAATCCTAAATCTACTTCATTAAATTAATTCTTACGCCAATGTAAATTTAGTTCAACCCAAATTGGCTCTGGACCATGTCATCCCATTAAAACAAACTTTATCCTGAGTTAAATACTTACTGAATGTTCCTTTTTCTCACCAGTAAATTAGGTTAAATGTAAATAAACCTGATAGGATAATACATGATAGAAAGATTAGTTATCTCGGATACTTGCATAATGAATATTCTTTTCTTGCATAATGAATATTCTTTTCTTGCATAATGAATATTCTTTTTTTTACATAGCAATTTAATGCGAACAAGCATGAATTTGATATAATAAATAATTTTGTGATAGTAAATATTCACAAGCTTAAACAGCTTATCTTAAATACTTTTAAATATTTGATTACTTTTACTGCTTATTTGATTGATCAAATAAAATAAATAGATAGGAGTAATATGTCATAAATATAGATTATCCCAAGTACCTTTGATTAATGAATGTTTTTTGGATTATCTAATAAATTAGTTCAAATAAATTTACTAGGATAACGTATGATAGCAAACTTGATGCTTAATTGATTTTTTTCACCTATTCAAATTAATAGAATTCATGGACTTAAGTAGTTTATTCAATATACTTTGAATAATAAACGTCACAGCTGAAGCCTGAAATTAGGGACCTCGATTTAAAAATATAAACCCTACAAAACTCCACTTATACATTTTAATTATCAAAATTAACTCTAAATCCTAAGCTAACTATAAAAAAAAAAAGCTAAAAAAATGCACCCAAAATTTTTTGAAAATTTCATATTAAAGTATTTAAAATTTCAAGCTTCAGCCACGACAATAAATACTTTTTACAAATGAAACATGAATTCAGTATGATAATGTATAATTATAATATTCACAAGCACATCAGGTAAACTTAAATAATTGATAATAAATAGCATTTTTGCTAAACTATTAAATTAATAAAATAGACAAAAGTAATTCATGGTATGAAGCGTTAGGGTGTGTAACGGCCTATTAAAATCAAACATATCTCTCATCTAACTTCGAATTACTTCGCGGATTACCTAATTACTCTGACAATTTATAAAGCAAGACATAAACTTAAAATTTTTTTTCCTGAATTCGTATTCGTGTCCCTGAATTCAATCTTGTGACAAAAAATTGTTACTTTAATAGGACTTTATTGATTAGATGATCTGCAAAAATCAACCAATCATGATAAAGCCCGCTACGCTTATGTATGGTCTTCAATTAATAATTTGAACCGGATAATAAAATTCCTAATTGGTTAACCGAGTTAACTTACCCAAATACAGTCGGCTCAACCGTATTATTTCGGTTAGATCAGTTTACCCGGACCAGTAGGTTAACTGAAAGTTAATTGAGCCAACCGAATTAACCGGGTCAGTAGAATTAGCCAGGTCAACCGAGTTATCCGGTCAGCAAAGCTAATTGGGTCAACTAAGTTAATCAGATTAAAGGCCTCCATTATAGTTTATGACCACCCTTTTATTCGCGAATTTTTGATTACCTTTTCGAAAAAAATATATATTAGTAAAAAGGTTTACAAGCAAATAAAGAAGTTCAAAGGAATGTATCAAAATAAGAATCTATACATATCTCTTAAATATTACAGATGCGAAGAAATTGGCAAAAATGAGTACAGGTCACAAAAATTAGATCCGGTCAACCGGTTATGTTGGGTTAGCCGATTATGTCAAGCAACCGATTATGTTAGGTCAGCCGATTATGTCGCGTTAATCAGGTCACCGATTATGCCGGGTCAACCGATTAACCAATTATGTCGAATTACCCAGCTAAGTATTTACTTAACCGGTTCGCCCATTTTTCAGTTCGGTTCGGTTACTCGATTATGGCCTAACCGGTTCAAATCCCTATCTTCGGTACAGTCTTTGATCAGTGATTGCCAACCCATCATGCTGACAAAAAAATCCGATAAAGAAAAATAAATATAGAAATACGTGCAGTATACTGACGTAAAACATCAAATGAAGCCTAAATGAGTGAGTATTCATGATAATCGTAATTTATACGTTTTAAAGTACTTTTTCACAAGACTTGTGTAAGCCTTCGTCCCTATGAAACGTGGGCAAATCTAGATACATGCCGTAGAAATTATTCGGCATAGTTTCAACCTATGTTTTGGTATTCGGCATTGACTAAAGTCGAAATTTATACCAAAATTAATCAGCAATACCGAAAGTGAAAGTTAATGCTACAAGTGTCAAAAGTGTCAAATATGACCAAATTAATTACATTATTATATACAAAAGTATCATTCGTTATATCAGTCAAATAAATTTATAAAAAATACTGTTACCAAATAATTATTATATTATTTTAAATACTTTAATTAAAACTATGAATTCGGCTTCTTCATATTCATCAGATTTTTATTACTTTAAAAGGTGGAAGACCTTTAAAATAAGTGTGAAATTATATTATAAAAGGCCAGGCTAAAGATAGTGGCCATTATGTGTAAAATGTGAATGCGATAAATCTTGAACACGTGAAAAGCCAAAAAAATTAGAAAGTCATTTTGCTACTGAATGTCTAAAAGCCGATATTAAAACTAGCCAAAATTACTTCGAGTCATAGCTGATTTGATATTTAAACATTGTTCATAAGATATAGTATCATAAACATAAATAAATATGGTAGCTATAAAATAGGTTTTAGTTTGTTAAAATGTATTTATGTTAATGTTGACTATGTAAGTCCAGCTAACAATTCCAAAATTCATAATGCTTCTAATATATATATATATATTTAAACCTACTTGATCGCAAATCTTTATTAACTCATTTTATTAGAGGGGGTCTTCTAAATTTGTAGGATCTCCCACCTTTAATAATTACATAAGTTAATTAACTATCTATCGATACATTAACTATTTTTAGCTAATCCTACTCACTAGCAACTTGATTACCAGATGACCCAACTACAACCGGGGGATTTTACCGGACTGTCCTTTTCCTTTTCTAGTTACTGCAACCGGATTTTACCGGATGACCCAATTACAACCGGAGGATTTTACCGAAACTGTCCTTTTCCTGGAGTTTTCTTGCTTTTCGACCTGGATGTATTCTTATTTTCATATTTATCTTGAGACGTCCCTTGAGAGTCTGTGGCTGAACTTCAATTGTGATCCTGGCACGGTTTTTGTCCTCCAGTATAACTCAAACCGGCGAATTTGCGATTGGGGACCCGAGAGCGCAACCACTACACTTTCGACCCATGGGTCCTTCTAATACATTTAAATTGCAGCTTTTAATTTAAATTATGGCATTCATATAAATTTTAGTTCCTGCTTTATACTGCAATAGTTGCGGCTCTATTTCTACTAAAAAAAATTGATAATAAAATATTTTGACAAGCCGCAATTAGTTTCTGTTATCGATAGCTTCTAATTTAATTTCAGTTTTTAATTTAAGTTATGGCATTCATTATAGTTGTTGGTTACGGCATGAGTTACGGTTGCGGCTCTATTTTTACTAAAAAATCGATGCCGAAATAGTTTGGCACAGCCGCTACTAGTTCCTACGGCATGTATGCCTTAAATCCCACAGCTTTTATATGACAAGTTATTCTATGAAAATTTATATAGGAGTAAGCAATTACGGAATACCAAACACAAATTCTAAACGTTGAATAAGAAAAACCAGAGAAAAGTTGAAAGCAATTTAACAAAAGTAAATGTGTGTTAGAGTATTAGGTTACACTGACTTTTATTTAGACGTTTTATAAATAAATCTTTTAAAAGCACCAGTGTTGGAAATTCAAACTTATTTAATGTTTCAAAAAAATTTTTTTATATGATCGCACGAGAATTAAAACCTGTAAGTAAAATATATGATCGGTTTCGAAAATAGCACACCTTGAATGTGTGCCAGGTTTGTGGCGCAGATGTCCTGAACTACGAATCAGATTTCAGGATCAGGTGTAACGTAACACGATCAAGAAGATTCAAAACAAACGTTCGTTTCGTCAGAAATCGCCTATTTCTTGAAAATCTGCATAGGAAATCACCTTTAGTGCTTTAACAAAAAGTTTTCGCTAGACAATTTTACTATATAAATACCCCTTTCTAACCCTAACCCGAACCCTAACCTTAACATAAACGAACTTCGAAGAATTTTTGCTGCGCCACAAACCTGGCACACATTCAAGAAAAGCTCGAAAATACTATTATTAACAGTAATTCGAACTTTACTAATGGGATGTGGTTGATTACGTAAGATCACAATTCATCAATGGTCAATTTTTACTTACAGGTTTTAATTCTCGTGCACTCATATGTCTATTAATAATAAAAAATTGATGTTCGTAGAGAACATCGAGAACATCGAATTTCCTACACTGGACAGCATTAGTTGTGAGCTGAAATCAGCCAAGGAATGTCTAATGACTCACAATAACGATAATGTACAGCCTTGTATTCATAAGTTGATCTACTATTGTTGATTTTTGCAGTATTATTACGTCAATGTATGGATTGCGTATATTGTGTTACTGTTTGTAACTGCTTTGTGTCTCTGCGGGGGTGTGATTTACTTTCACAAAAACTATTTACTCAACACCTAAAATTAAGTATACACAACCCGATCTTGATTTCTCCATACAGTACCACATGATGTCCTCTTTGGATAGAAAATGCATGCTATATGTAAAAT